CCTCTCCCAGGTATGTCTTCCATTGCCTTATTCAAGTCTTGGCTCAAATGTCAGTTTCTCAGTGAGGTCTTCCTTGACCAATAGACTTAAAATCTCACACCACCACTATCACCTCCAAGTCTCCTTCCAACCTGCTTTATTTTTCTCCATAGCATTTTCTTCATCTAACATACTAGAGAGAGTTCTCTTGAATAAGAGAACAAGATTGTCTGGGTTTGCATCCCAACCTGGTCACTTTCAAGATATAAGACTTGATTCCTGTGCCTCAATTTCTTGGTAAAGTAGGATAGTTTCTATCTCATTCGAATAGTACCTCGCATATAGTAAGTGATACGTTTTCACCATTATTATTACATTTTACTTATCAATTTTGCTTATCTTCCCTCCTCCCCCAGTGGAATATAAATTCCATGAGAGCAGAATTTTTTTATTTCACTTACTGCTATATTCACAGCTTCTGGAACCGTGCCTGGCACATAGGTGCTTAATAAATGTCTGTTGATCAAATTATTATCTCTAGAAAGACTAATGGGGAGAAGAAGAGTCACGGAAGACTTGAGCTTTATGTATACTATTTAAAACTTTTACAAGAAGAATGTATTCATGTATTACTTGTACCCTCAAAAAACTCATAGGCTTACATGGAAAATAGACATGTAAACAAATAAATTCCTAGAGGAATATTGTGAGAGTGAGTTGGGTTTTAAAAGATGCATCGTTCCACTAGATGAAATGCGAGAGGGATGAGACAGCTTTCTAGACAGAGGGAATAGTATGTGCAAAAAGCAAAGAGGTATAAAACACAGTGGTAGCTCTGACAACTGTAATCAGTATTTTGAGGTATTAAAAGTTCCATCTTGGTGAATGGATAAAGAAGATGTGGCACATATATACAATGGAATATTACTCAGCCATAAAATGAAGCAAAATTGAGTTGTTTGTAGTGAGGTGGATGGACCTAGAGTCTGTCATACAAAGTGAAGTCAGTCAGAAAGAGAAACACAAACACCGTATGCTGACATATATATATGGAATCTAAAAAAAAAAAAAAGCTTCCGATGAACCTAGGGGCAGGACAGGAATAAAGACACAGATGTAAAGAATGGACTTGAGGACACGGGGAGGGGGAAGGGTAAGCTGGGACGAAATGAGAGAGTAACACTGACATATATACACTACCAAATGTAAAATAGGTAGCTAGTGGGAAGAAGCTGCATAGCACAGGGAGATCAGCTCGGTGCTTTGTGACCACCTAGAGGGGTGGGATAGGGAGGGTGGGAGGGAGACGCAAGAGGGAGGGGATATGGGGATATATGTATACATACAGCTGATTCACTTTGTTATACAGCAGAAACTAACACAACATTGTAAAACAAATATAGTCCAAAAAAAGTAAAAAAAAAAAAAGTTCCATCTTGGGACTTCCCTGGTGGTCCAGTAGTAAAGAATCTGCCTTACAATGCAGGGGACATGGGTTCCATCCCTGGTCGGGGAACCAAGATCCCACATGCTGCGAGGCAATTAAGCCCACGCACCACAACTACTGAGCTCGCACACCCCAGCTAGAGCCTGCGTGCTCTGGAGCCCTTGGGCCACAACTAGAGAAGAGAAAACCCACACACCACAACTAGAGAGAAGCCCACGCACTGCAACAAAAGATCCCATGTACTGCAACAAAAGATCCCGTGTGCCGCAACTAAGACCCGACAAGGCCAAAAATAAAATAAATAATAATAAGTCTTAAAAAAATAATAAAAGTTCCATCTTATCCTTCTCTCTCACTAATTCCTATGTTCCAGCTAAGTATTTGGCTATAATTAGAAGCTTATTACTCCATTAAGGCAAATATCTTGGGGTTTTTTCTCATTATTTTCCTGTAAGTCTTTTTCTATTTTCCTGCCCCCAAGAATGTCCATTCATTTTTTTCATCATACCACTCTTCAGATTTGATTCTAAATTCCCGCAATATCTTTGTTATAATAAGAAACTCACATGTAATTTCTATCTGTGGAGTATAGTAAAAAAAAAAAAAGAGGAAATAGATAGATAAATAGAGTTTTGTTATAATATGTAGCTTTGTCTAGGAACACAGTTGTTCAGCTCAATTATTTTAGTAATTAAAATTTAAAATCCTATAAATGTTAGTGTCTAGTCCCTTACCAAAGACTTAAAAGTGAAGAAACTTGTTTTTCAATGTGTGATGCAAGACTTTTTGAGGTTGACTTTTTAAAATCAGGGATTTTTTCTGCCCACCTTCCTTCTCTACATAGAGCTGGGAAAGCACCCTTGATGACAGCACAAACCAAGGCAAGCAATAGTGCTAATCCACTAGATTAGCTCCTGGTACCATCACTGTTTATACCATCTCTCATGTTGCATTGTGATTGTGTATCTCTCTGAGAGCCCCTTAAAGTTAGGAGTCATAACAGGTGTTCATATGAACACTGAGTTCAGTGCCTACCGCATAATGGATGCTCAGTAAATATTGGTTAAATTTAATTGAACTGAGCTGAGTTGAATTGGATTATAGTACCACAGGGGAAGGAGATTTTTGAGTTTGCTTTTTAAGTAAGACTGATTTAAAACAAATATAGAAAAGAAAAATCATTCTTTTTTGTTGTTTTTAAACATAGTCTAAAGTTTGGGGTACAGATACCAATATGTTCATCACCTATAATTTTTAAAGCATTCTGCAATGACTCATCAGGGTCCCCAAATAGATACTTTTTAAAAAGCCACAATGGCCCTGGGGAACAAAATTAGGCCTGGCAAATATAAATAGTGTTTTCTGTTTGTAGTCAAGAATGTGGGGTCTTGGGCTTCCCTGGTGGCGCCATGGTTAAGAATCTGCCTGCCAATGCAGGGGACACGGGTTCAATCCCTGGTCCGGGAAGATCCCACATGCTGCAGAACAGCTAAGCTCGTGCACCACAACTACTGAGCCTGCGCTCTAGAGCCCGCCAGCCACAACTACTGAAGCCTATGCGCCTAGAGCCCGTGCTCCGCAACAAGGAAGCCACCCCAGTGAGAAGCCCGCGCACTGCAACAAAGAGTAGCCCTGCTCGCTGCAACTAGAGAATGCCTGTGTGCAGCAACGAACACCCAACGCAGCCAAAAATAATAAATAAATAAATAAAATTAATTAAAAAAAAAAAGAATAGATACCTAAAATTAAGAAAAAAAGAAGAATGTGGGGTCTTGTTGATACACAGAGGAGGATCTTTAAGTATGATTTCAGGAGAGTTACTCCTTTCCTTTGCACATGTAGGAGTCTCATGTGAAGCAAAGATCACCTCATAAATTCCTATAGGGTTTCCCAGCATATTTGTTTCATTCTTACTAAAGGTCCCTAATCAATAACTTCTGTGTTATCTTTCAAAAAAGAAAGGCAATGCTGCCTCATTTCCTGACACTTGTTTTCTGGCCTCAAAGTGTCTCCTGTCCAACTGGCCAAAGAGCCAGGCTAGACAGAGGTGCCAGTATTAACAGAGGTGTTCAGTAGAGGAATAGATGAATTTAGCTTCTGCTCCTTTCCCTCTACTTCACTATTTTCTTCTTTTGAAAAGGAGTTTGGAATTTAAATTTTCTAAGCCTAGAATCTTCCAGGTCTAAGTCTGCACAGCTGTGGTAATAATAAGGTACCTGGTCATTTCTCCAACCCTCAATCTGCTATAGATCTGTATCCTGAGAACGAGTCCAGCATACTTATAAGTAATGCCCCCAAAACTCCTGTGTTATAGAGAAGGCTTTCTTGCCAATGGGTAGCTATTTTAATTACTTTATTTATTCCGTATACCTTTATTGGGTACCTACTAGGTGTCAGCCTCTGTGGTAAACCCTGGAGATCCAAGATGAATAAGTGTTAGTCCCACCCTAAGTAACTCACAGTCTATTTTGGCATCAGTAATGTATAGAGTACCGGTGCTAAAATAGCACTAGGACAAAATGATAATAATGATGGGGGTGATTAGTTCAGCATGGAGGAGCGTTTGGGAAGGCTTCACAGAAAAGGTGGCTTTTAATCCTCAGCCTTAAAGGATAAAAGGGATTTCATCAGACAAAGAAGGGGTAGTCTATCGTTTCAGACACAGGACATAATAAGAGCAAAAGCATAAAGGTATGGAAGCTCAGGACATGTTTAGGGAACAGTGAGTGGTTGGGCATGGAAGGCACATAGGCTGCATGGTTGGTGGGAGATAGAAGCAGACAAGTGAGAGTATTGTGTGGTACTGAAGGGCACGGATTCTAGAGCTGGGTTTGAATCCCAGCTAAGACACTGACTAGCTTTTGTGATCTTGGCAAGTCACTTAACTTCTCTATAGCTTGGTTTCTTCATTTTTTAAATAAGGATAATAGCATATATACATATACTACGTTTATATGTATACACACACACAGCTCAAACCAGTTCTCAGAACAAAAGAAATACAAGTATTATTATGAGGCCACATTATGAAGGGCCTGGAATTTTAATCTGTATATTATTCTGTAAGCAAAAGAAAGGTTTTAAAGCAGAAGGGGGGAGAGTATGCAACAGGATATAATCTGTATCTTAGAAAATTGGTGCCACTTTGGAGAGTGGACTGGATAAAGAAAAGCCTAGAGGCACAATACAAGTTCTGAGGCAGTTTCAAGAGTTTAGATAAGAGGTGCTGATATAACATGGTTCTGAGTTGATGTACAATAGTAGCCTTTCCCTTAAAACTTCTGGGTTCCTGACTAGGAATTTCAAACTTGAAATATTAGTCTTAACAGACCTCACAAGTTTAACGCTAAAAGACACAGTGAGAACCCTGGGGAAGCGCACAAAGGGGTTCTCCTTCTAGTCTGGATGTTTTAGTGCTCAACTGATGCTTCTCTTCTGCACCCAAATATCAGACCAGTGCTTCGTCCATTCTATTCATGATATCCTTTCATCTAGTTAAATGTCATGAGCAAGACATTCTGTTTTGGAGATGCTTATTTTTTTCCCCTTGAGTAACCTCAAGTCTACTGGTCAGTTTCCTAGAGGAAGTTCTGGCTTCTGGACTGCACAGCCGAAGCAAGGACAGCTCTCAAGTTACATCAAGGTTAGCAAGCAGAAGATGAAATGGTGATGGAGAGGTGAGAAGAATGGCGCAACTTCCCCTCTTGCCTCGCTGCAGGCTTTCTCCACTGACCAGAGGGGTGTTGGAGAAGAGCCTTGGGTTTTGTGCTTCTTGTTATAACCCATCTCCAGGTAGCCTGCTGATTCCTGAACTGTTGGCACAGACACCAAGACTCCAGTGGTGAGTTGAGAATAAGTCTGAGCCCATTCCATTCCAACACACTTCTCTCATGTTTTCTTTATCAAATAAATAAATGTATTCCTTGTACTTGATAGCACAATCACTTCAGTTTCTGGCGAATTTTGTTGGGATCTTACTTGAGAAAAGGCTTATCAGAGCTTAAAGGAGTTTTAAAAAGTAAAAATTAGATGCACATACTATAGACTCTTCTCTTGACCCCTTTTATTTTCATTAACCACATTCCTGAACAACTCACTTCTGAAAACCCATCATATTTCTGTAAGAACCATCCAAAAATTGTCCCTAAGTTGCAATTTTCTGTGGTACTGAGAAACCATGTATGACTACAATAAAAATCCATTTTGTGGAAAGACACAAGTGATTTGTTTTTGTTTCTTTGGGGTTAATAACTATTTATGGGAATTTATGTGATGAGGCATGAGCTGGCTTTACATCAAACTTAGAGACGGCATTGCCTCTACCCAAAGGATATTTAAAGTATGTCAAGACAATAAATTCTGGCGTCAATGGGACTTCCCTAGTGTCACAGTGGTTAAGAATCCACCTGCCGATGCAGGGGACTCGGGTTCAATCCCTGGGCTGGGAAGATCCCACATGCTGCAGAGCAACTAAGCTCGTGCGCCACAACTACTGAGCCTGTGCTCTAGAGCCCACGTGCCACAACTACTGAAGCCCATGCATCTAGAGGCCGTGCTCTGCAACAACAGAAGCCACTGCAATGAGAAGCCCACACACTGCAACGAAGAGTCGCCCCTGCTCACTGCAACTGGAGAAAGCCCGCGTGCAGCAACGAAGACCTAATGCAGCCATAAATAAATAAATTTATTTATTTGTTTATTTATTAATTTTAAATGACTCATTTAAAAATGAGTCATCATTTTTTTTTCCAATCTTTTGGCTGCACCACATGGCATGTGGGATCTTAGTTCCCTGACCAGGGCCCCCTGCAGTGGAAGCGTGGACTCTTAACCACTGGTGTCAATTTCACTTCTCTTGAAAGCAGTGGAAACTGATAATGTCATTAATACCAGGAAATTATCGTGTGCTCAAATCATATCACAGTCCCTCTTTGGTGCTCTGTAATAAATTTTTTAGACCTCTTATGTTGATTAACATTCTCTAGCATCAGATAGCCTAGGCTCAAATCTGTGTCAAGTTATGTGGCTTTGGGAATGTTATTAAGTCTCTTTGTGGCTCAGGTTCCTCATCTATAAAAAGAGAGTAGGGCTTCCCTGGTGGTGCAGTGGTTGAGAGTCTGCCTGCTGATGCAGGGGGCACGGGTTCGTGCCCCAGTCCAGGAAGATCCCATATGCCACAGAGCGGCTGGGCCCGTGAGCCATGGCCACTGAGCCTCCGCGTCTGGAGCCTATGCTCTGCAACGGGAGAGACCACAGCAGTGAGAGGCCCACGTACCGCAAAAAAAAAAAAAAAAAAGGAGAGTAATAAAGTACCTCCTCATAGGAGCATAAGGACTAAATGAAATGAGAGAATACATTTAAAACACTTAGAACTTTGGTATATAGTAAACCACCCAAGGAAATTTGACTGATAATAGTAAATAAGATTGACTGCTGTCTCCAAGTTGGGGATACAAAATCACTACACAAAATGGTTGGATTCCTATCATCCTCCCACTACGTTAATCAGCAGTTCAAGAAGTAGAGGGAAGAGGTGAAGGGTCATCTGATCCATCTCCCTTTTCCCCATTCCTCTCAGCTCTTGACCACTGTTTCTTCACCGTACACTCATGCGAAGCCCTAAGCCTTTTGTCTTAATTACAGCTAAGAGCTAAGATCTAATAAGTTCTGTTCTGGTTGTTTTACTTTTTTTTTTTTTTTTTTTGCGGTACGTGGGCCTCTCGCTGTTGTGGCCTCTCCCGTTGCGGAGCACAGGCTCTGGACGCACAGGTGACATGTGGGATCTTCCCAGACCGGGACACGAACCCGTGTCCCCTCCATCCGCAGGCGGACTCTCAACCACTGCGCCACCAGGGAAGCCCTAATTAAGGTCTCATGCTTTTAATGACCTCTCTTCCAGAGACTGAAGTGCCTAGTCAAAACCTCTATGTCCCATTTACTCTACAAAAGCCAAGGTGCTTGTTTTTAGGTACACAACTGTTTGGATAACAGTTTTTGCCCAGTAAATATGCAGGCAGCAATTCAAAATCCTTATCTCTGATGGCTCACTTCTTCGTCGCTTAAGTGGAGTTACTTATAAAATAGTCAATTTAAGAATAAAGCTACTGACAGTTGTGTCTTATCCATGGTGATGCAGTTAGGGAGGTAACCCCACCATGAGTACCCCCAGTATCTTTTTTTTTTTTTTTGCCGTACGCGGGCCTCTCACTGTTGTGGCCTCTCCCGTTGCGGAGCACAGGCTCTGGACGGGCAGGCTCAGCGGCCATGGCTCATGGGCCCAGCCGCTCCGCGGCATGTGGGATCTTCCCGGACCGGGGCACGAACCCGTGTCCCCTGCATCGGCAGGCAGACTCTCAACCACTGCACCACCAGGGAAGCTCCCCCCACCAGTATCTTATCTCCACCAAAGAAGGACATTGAGTTATCTGAGTTATTTTTGTGGTTTGTGTGTGTGGTAATGTCAAGCTCACTGAGGAGACAGTGCTGTGAAAATGAGAAAAGGAACCCATAAGTTGTTACTGTGAGATTTCTCACTTATGAGTTGGTCTTCAGAAATAGCCTCAGTTCATAGATCCCAAGTCAGGTGCCACAAGGTTCACCTGGTAGAGAGAAGTAAAGCTTGAAGAACAGGCCAGGGGAGGAGTATGGCTTATGGGAAGAGGGATGAGTAGCAAGACAAAGGGAAGGTAGGGGTAGGATGATAAAATGAGGCAGTGCAGCGGTGCAGGTTAATGAGAGAGAAAACCAGAGATTTATGTAACATCTCCAGGAGCAAATAGGCAGGGAAGGTTCCCCAGCCCACATGCATCTGTTCTGGAATCTGAAAATTACTTTGGAGGGTTTTGATTTTTTAGGAGTCCCTCTGCCTGATATTCCACAAAGCTCCAGCTCCTGCCTGATATAGCACATAGGACCCTAGTACCTTGCATACAGGACATACTCAAATATTTGCTGACTAAAGGAAGATGGGGCAAGTCATGAATTACTTTTTTCCCCATAAGCCAGAATCTATTTAAACTAAAAGTCCAAACCACTCCTATCTACCTGGCAAGCAAGCCCTCAAAAGATCAAACAGGGTAGTGTTCTCACCAGTACGATGGGACATTTTGCTTCCTTACTTATGAAGATACCCTGGATTTTCTCATTCTTTTTAAATCACTTTTTAATTTTTTAATTTTTTGTGTGTGTGTGGTACGCGGGCCTCTTACTGCTGTGGCCTCTCCCGCTGCGGAGCACAGGCTCCGGACGCACAGGCCCAGCGGCCACGGCCCACGGACCCAGCCACTCCGCGGCATGCGGGATCCTCCCAGACCGGGGCACGAACCTGCGTCCCCTGCATCAGCAGGCGGACTCCCAACCACTGCGCCACCAGGGAAGCCCTAAATCACTTTTTAAATAGAGAGTGTGGGAAATAGAGATGGTGGGAAGGGGAGTGTGTGTGTGTGTGTGTGTGTGTGTGTGTGTGTGTATGAAACCTAAACAGAGTGGAGTCAGAAAACCTGGATTCTAATCTATTTAGCCAGTAACTTGCTGTGTAAACTTGGGCAAGTCCGTTGATTTGCCATGCCCTGTTTCCTCATTTTCCAAGTGGGAATAATATTTATTCTATTGATATACACCTCACAAGGTGGCACTAAAGGGTTAAAGAAATGATATATGAGAGCGTTTTGAAAGGATACATTTCTATATGAGCCTAAAATACAGGAATTAATTAGTATGGTAAATGAAAAGAGGTTAAGAGGAATATTATTGGATTAGGGGAAAAGGGGGGCTCGGAAAAGAGAGAAGCCCCCTCCTTTATTTGACAGATACCAGAAAAAGGCCAAGACCACTCCACTCCTTAATTTGGCCAACATTTTCTTTTATCTTGAGACATCTCTGAAAAAAGGGGTTCTTTCTTTTTCCTGCTTCTCTGTGCCAGGGATTTGTATTCATTTTGAAGTTACTGTCTGCCTACCATATGCCAGGCAATGTGTTCGTTAGCTCATTATTATTTAGTAATTAGCCCTAGAGGGCAATACTGTATTTTTAAATGACTTTCATGGGTTATGTCATATATTGCCCTATCTTTCCTTGTTGATGGAATTGGCAGTCACTACTTAATATGTAGAGGAACTGAGGCCCAAAGAAATTCAGTGACTTGACCAAAGGCCACAGGGCAGTGATGAAACTAGTACCCAAACCTAGGTTTCCTGACTTTCCTCTTCCCATTAAATGGATACTGGGAGAAAAATGAAGTTACCAAGATGCTGGTGTGTGGGCTCTGAGGCAGATCTGGCTTAGGGGTGATCAGCAGAGCCTTCCCCAGCTAGGGCATCCTCTGGGCATTGCGGTAGACAGGATGGAATTTTTACATGTCAGTGCATCAGGGAGAGATACCAGGTAGTAGGAAGTTTAAGCCTCACCTGGAGCTTGTCTGTAAAGCCACTTGGTCTAACAGATCAGGGCTCTGGAGACAGACAGTTCTAGTCCTGTCAGCACTTACAGTGTGTCTGCAAATCCCTCAGCCATTCTGAATCTCACTTTTCTCTCTGTGCAATGGAGATCATAATATGTACCTCGTACTTAGGGTTATTCTCCTGAGGCTCAAATAAGGCCTGAGGCTTTGTAAACTGGAAGAAATGTGTATTAATATTAACTTCTCTTCCACGGAGTCGCCCTACACATCGGTACCCTCCATAAAACTTTTCCCCAACGGTTGACCTGCCCAGACCACTATCTGTACCACCTAGGGAGTGTGAATTCCAGTTGCCAGTCCTGGGTAACGCGCCCTCCCACCTCACGTTCTTGTTTTTGTTTTGGCTTTGAGGGGGAGAGGATCCCGATCTAGGTTATCGCCGGTCTTCATAAACCTCCCTGTCTCTCTATCATCCGCTCCATCCGCCCCTGCCGTCTCTCTCGGCAGGTCGGCCCCGGCTGTCTTTCCTGGCTCCACCTCTCGCTCCGGCGGTCTGTGCGAGTCTCGGACTCCCTGCCCCTCCAGACGCCGTTCTCCGGCGGGGTTTAGGTCTGTCTTCTTCACCCTCAGTGAATCAGAAACAAAGGAGGGGGGTGGAGGGAGCGCACTCTCTCCGGCTCGGCGATTCGCCCTTTATTCTGAACTCGCAACGTCAGCGGGCGGGTGGATGGAGCTGCGGGGCGCGGACTGGGCCGCCCACTGCGCGCCGGGCCGGGGGAGCGGCCGGGCCGGGCCGGGCGGGCGGGCGGCGAG